AGAAGCGTAAGGTAGGATACTGGCGTTCAGCGGGATGGGAGGCGGAGGAGTTGCCTCTCCTGCGCGCCAGGCCCAGCGGCATGGGCTGACTCTCGGGGAGCGTTGCGGGGCTCCAGAGTCAGCCGTTCCAGCCCTGGATGGGACCCCTTTTTTTTTTTTTTTCTCATACCTCAGATTGGCCAACTTTCTTTCTTTCCCATCTCCATTTGTCAGTCATACAAATCAACCAATCATCACAGGCCAACTGCAAATAAAGAGGGGCGGGTTACTCATCATGTTTGTCTTCGAACATATTTTGTTCGTCCAGCATGGATTTTCGGACTTATTTAAAAACTAATAATCGGAGGACAAAAGGTAACAAATATATTTTCAAAACAAAAAAAGACTTTGTCTTTAACCCCCTCCCCCTCCAAAACTTACACAAAAGTGTTCCCACACGAGACGAAAAGGAAAAGTTTTAGCGCCGGGGCTTCTTTATAAAAACTTTGTTTTTAAACCCCTATACCTTACGCTTTGCCGCAAGAAGCGTAAGGTTCGATGTTGGCACACTGGTGGAGAAGTTTTTTTACGTAAACTTTGATCAAAAGCAGAGTTAAATTTACTCTATAGAATTGCATACTGTTTTGTAACCCTGTGTAAGAATGAACCTATTAGGAGTTAAAAGCGAGTGTTAAAACAATGTGTCCCCATATCAAATCTTAAAATGGAATCAATAACTCTTGACTTCTTAGCTCTCACAGCGGTTATAACATTAAAGGAGTTAATTCACTGACTCGGCCCGCAGAACCGCAGGTTCCCACCAAAGCGACAGAAGCTAAGTCATTTCAGAACAATTTGCTCTCCACATGTCTGACTTGTTCACCAAGCTTGGTAAGTAATTTATTTCTGAGATTGTTTATAACTATTATTTTGAGTTGAGACCAACATGCATGACAGACGTCACGTTTGCAACATTGCTTGGTGTTAGCATATTTAGCCTAGCACAAGTATTGGAGAAAAATATCCAGCAGGTGATTTGTAATAATCTGCAGCACGTTTTTATTTACCCTGAATGTTTACATAAATATTTGTAAGATTTATCAGCCTTACTGATCCCGATATTTTTCTTTGAAAAACTGTGAAAGGCTTTTTCATGTTGAAAGTATATTCCGCATTGATAATAGTTTATGTTGTGACTACTGCAGTTGTTGTGCCTTCTCATATGCATTTTGATTTATGGTTTTATCATTTTATTTTTCTAGATATTAAGATGAGTTTGCCTGAGGATGAATCGCCACCATCAGTCTCTCTCGCTCCCTCACTCCTCCGTCGCTTCTTCCAAGACTCAAGCTCCAAAAATGGCTATGTAAGCGTTAAACTCCACATCTCTGTAATTGAGGCATGTTGATATAGTTGTATAAAAATGTATTCCTTAGTTCCATTTTTCATTGTTATGTTTTTTTGTTTATGATCCAGAGACCGACACGGGCTCTCTTACTTGGAGACTCAAGCTTGTCCAACGCATGAGGAGCACGTTGATGGCCCCGGCCAAACTTCACGACAGCCCAGCAACCCGAAGACAATCTGTGTTAGTGAGTGGACAGCCCTATGGGGGAGTGCAGAGAGACCCTGTCTTTTATTAGACATTCAGTAGAAACATAAACTGGGTAAGAAATGATGGCACTGAATACCAGGTTGGCCTGTTCTGTACTGTAATATCCAACAATCTACCTGTGTTAAAAGAAGATTTCCTGTCTTATTACCTGAACTAAATGCATTACTTTTTCTCCGCCTTGTATTTTGAACAATTCCATATATATTGTATTGAAGAAAAATGTGTTAAGTATACTGTGTTTTGTATTGCACAGCTGATATATGTCCAACCTTTTGATAAGTTATATTTGAATGAAAGCGACATGTGAAACATGAAAGTGTATGTTATCACCTATTCTGTGCATGGTGAGATAAGCATTGGTCTTCATCTGATCTTTCTGCGTCACAGTTCCAGTTGTTAAATGTTGTTCTGATCTTAGATATAGACAAAAAAGAGTTAGTATACAGATGGATTTACACAATTGTTTCCAAAGCAAAATTAAACTACAGTGCAGCATACTGGATCAACTTATTTCGGATTGTTAAAATAGAAGACTTGCCAGAATATTGTTGTTGGACTGACAAGTGATGTTTAAGTCCACAAGCAATACAATCTTTCTATCCCTAGAGGTCTGAGTATGTTCGCTGGCCGTATATTTCTAAAAGTCTCCAATCTGTTTAAAGTCATCAAGGATTAGAGATCATGGTGCTGAAACAAGCTCACAAATTAAACATTTTTGTTTTTCTAATGATGTGGTTGTACTTTCAGAGCTGCGTTTGGTTAAGTCAGGGGGTGTCAATTCTGTTGATGTGTCACGCCGGATGATTAAAAGCCTCAAAAAGCTTGGATGACGTCTGAGCAGAAAACATCTGCAACATGCATAGACTGCTCTGTGTCTCCAACATCCCACTGGCTCTACAATAAGGGGAGCCGAAAGGTCACGCCTGAGAAAGAGTACCATCAAAAAGGTCCTTTGATATTGCAAATTAACATTGATATTCATGGGGATAATTATTGCAATTCACGTCAAATACCAGCCATTAGTGCTGCAGTGTTAGGGGAAAAGGGGGTTTTGGTTATTAGAAGCTACTTATCAGACAACTGTTGCTGGCTGAAAAGCCTTGCTTGCTTCTGACTAACATCAATATCCATGTTCCATTAAAACAGACAGGACAAACCCCCTGCAATTCCCCTATTACAATGGCTTTCACAGTAAACCCGTGGCTACAGCATTCGGTAAAGTGCAGATTTATGAGAACAAATGTAAATTTTGTAGCAATCTGGTTCGACAAACCAAAAACAACATGTTGTTTTGTACAGTTTTCAGACTTTGCAATAGTGAATAAGTGCAAAGAAAAATGCTTTACTTCAAAATGTTGTAGCTAAAATGTATTAAATCGTTTTTTGGTTGGTGAAGGGGAAGGAGGGCATTTAGTACCCTTAGAGCTAAGCTATCAAAGGAACAGGATCATAATTAGTTATTGACATGAGTCAAGTTTCATCAGCATCATATCTAAACAAGATTGACAGGGCATCAAAGTATGCAGAGGATGGTGGATGCTTTACAGTCTATTAATATGTACAGGCTTTACCCCGATAGCTTGTTTAATAGTAGATATTTGTCAAAATGATTTTTTTTTTACATCTCAATATTAAAATAACATTTTATCTTCAGTAAAATGTAACAGAATTATGTCCGAATGTCTCAATCTATTGTATATCATAAGAATTTTGTACTTTCAGTGATGTTACATGTACTCAATATCACTGATTTCCAAAAAACAAGCATGGGGTGCAGAAGTTCACGTTTATTGTGGATTTTCTTTCACCAAAAATATATTTAGATGCTCACGTATGCACACACTCCATCACTGTCAAAAAAGCAAAACAAAGAACGAAGAAGTAAAATGTTGGAACACTTTTGTTGCTGTCCACAGAGAAACAGCTGATCAACCAAGACGGTTCCATCCACATTCTTAAACTTGACCTCAAAGCAACAACGTTTTTCAAATCAAAATTATTTTGAAACACATTGTAGTTGTATGCTTTATTACAGATTCACCACCAAAAAGAAAGGCTTAAAATAAATGATTAAAAGTCTGAAATGTTTATGATATTGTGTTCAATTACTGATGATGATAAATGAAATACAACAGGAGGAGGTAAAAAAAAAAAAAGTCTAAAATTGAACCTGAACAGTTGTGACATCGGTCAGTTTGATAGATTTGTGTGACAGAAGAAGGTGGAGGGATGATGACACACAGATCATGTGTCTGTCTCGCTTTGTTTACCTAAATGTCAGCCTGCTGGGACAGCTGAGTTCATTTACCTCCCCATTAGTCCGAGTCAACTGTTCCAAAACAGGCAGCGTCTCAGGGCTGTGAACCGAGCATGACCAGGTGAGTGTCAGCTCTTCATTTTTATTTTATTTTTTTTTTCGGAGTGTGATCCTCCAACCTGCTTCTATCCCACCTAATTTTCTGCAGTGGCATCTGTGTGTTTGCCCTGTCTTTCCTCCTTGGTGTCTCACTGAGTGCGGAAATGACCGGGCTATATGGCAGCTTCGCCTCCCCTGGATTCCCGCAGCCATACCCCGACAACCAGCTCGTGGTGTGGAACATAACCGCTCCGCACGGCCACCGCATCAAGCTCTACTTCACCCACTTCAGCTTGGAGCCCTCCAATCAGTGTGAGTACGACCACATCCAGGTGAGCTGCGTCCAAACAAAGCCCCGTTTGTGCACACCGGAACTCCTTGCTCACCAAAGAGGCCTCTAACCCTGTCAAAACAGGTTTTGGCGGAAGGGAATGAAACCCTGCGGTTCTGCGGTGAGGAGGAGAAGAACCACGAGAGCACCCCCAGGAACACCATCATCATGTCAGCCGGGAACGTCATGTCGGTGGTCTTTAGGAGCGACTACTCTAACGAAGGCCGATTCACTGGCTTCCAAGCGTTTTACACCTCAGAAGGTGATGTGAAAATGGGACGCTTGTTCCCAGAAGGCAAATAGGACATCAGCAGCTATAATGAAATGTTTTAAAAGTCCATGTAGACACAATGGGACTATTAGGTCATCGTAGGCGGAGTCAGCTTTTAAGCCGTGCACATCTTATGAGAAAGACTGACAGAAGTACAAGAAAAATGTTAGAGCTTGTTTGAAGAAATGTAGGTTCTCCTCCATCCACCGGTTGTCATGTTGTACTCCTTTTCTACAAAAGTGGGTCCATTCAGAAGACGAAACCCCCGCCATAAACCATTTTTAATCTTACCTTTTTGCTGTCTTGTATGATAAGCTCAAGGAGCCACAGATATGCATTTAAACCTCTTTACTCTGAGACTCCTCAATAAAATCTAGTGCTTTTGAAATTCCCTATCAGTAAATGGCATCCATTCAAATCTCTATACAAAGAGCTGTTCTGGCCAGGGATTAAAGTAGTATTTATTTTAAATTTGCAGGCTGATGCAAATTAAACTGGAAAGAAAACCAGCAGAATGAAGAAAAATCTTTTTTTATTTCCATTGCTTTTTCTTGAAATTGTGACTGGTTTAGTTGGCATCTTCTTGATGTTTGCTTTGTAGTAGTAAACGTTAACAACAGCATCTTTCAAAGATAAAAACGACGTTGTTCACAGTCAGAGCATGAAACAATGGCAAAAATCAAGATAAACACAGCTAATTAACAACAAATATGAATTAATATTTAAAAAGATCTTAGGGAAAAACAAGTATGAGTAAGAATATATTCAGCAGCGCCTTGAAAGTCAGAGTTGAATACAAACCCACGAAAGCCCAGAGTCTCAAAACAAAATGACAGAAGCATGTCCCACAGCAGAAGTTTAACAGTCTGGACACAGCGACCACTATAAAGACATTAAGACAGAGATGTGAGCTCTTCTGTTTGTTATCACTGCAGAGCTTCAGAGCAACTAAAAATTATCAAGAGCGTTTTTGATAACGCATGTGAAAAATGTCTAGACAAGAGCTTTTCTACCATCTTGAGAAAAGCAACCATGACTCTGAGCCTTCAGACAACATAAACACACGCTGCTACGCTTTGAAGAGAAGTAAATTGCTTTTATTAAGTCATGCTAAACACACCGAATGTGAGTGGGTGGATGGATGGCACACTTAAGCAAAATAGCGAGGGGGGAGTTGCGTTCTTTGTTTGCATTTTACTCAGAGTTCGTCAGAGTTCTTTTATTTCTTTGAGGTGTATGGTAACAAAGACCACACCTTCATGGCTCATATGGTAAGGCAGTATTGGCTTACACTGCTCAGGGTGATGAATCCAAACAAATATTCACAGTTGAAACCGTTAACAGACCCATTCAGTCCCTCCAGGCTCACACATCTCATTAAGACAGGGTAGCATCATGCATCTGTAGAGGGCCCGCCCGTAGATGAAAAGACACAAACGTACCGAGTAACGCTAAAGCAGCATCCTGTGTCGGTCTCTTCCAGATATCAACGAGTGCCTATCCAGGGTAGATGGCGAGCGAGTATGTGACCATTTCTGCCACAATTACATCGGCGGCTATTACTGCACGTGCAAGCAGGGACACCTTCTCCATGACAACAAGAGATCCTGCACAGGTAAGAGCAAAAGGAGCTGAAGCCCAAGAGGCGTTTTTCGTTTGGGCGCAATCAAAGGAGCTCAGAAGGCGCACAGTGAGGTGTGGTGTTAAGGAGCTCGGCATGAGGGAATGACTGCATTAGTAGTTGTAAAGCAGATCAGATAAACTCACGCTGAGCCTCTCAGCCTCCTGTCTCTCTCTGAGACAAGTGGCGAAAACAAGTCTAAGTCCTCAAAATGCCTTTCTAACACAGCGCTAAGATTTTAAGACATTTTAAGCAAGATGAAAACGCTCCTACATGTAGTAAGATCCCACCATTTGTTGGTGTAAAATCCTTTGCAGAAAACAATGATTTGTCTTTTAACATAAGGCACGTAGTAAGTGTAGAGTGTTGGATTTTATAATGCAATAGGTGTTAATTCCAGGCTGAAAAGAAATTCTGATGCATGCAGCAGCTGATCTCTGGCAGCTGGTGCGCAGTGAGGTTAATCACAGCGGATTCCTCAGGGAAGAGCAACTTCGAAATGGCTATAAAAATTGATACCTGTGTGCAGCACTTACAGCGCACCGGCACCAGGTAATTAATCACAATTACCAGCTGATGTGCCTTAAATTATTATACTTTGCCAGGGGGGGGGGGAAATACGGTGGCACAACAAATCATGCAATGAATAGACAAAAATGATTATCTGCCCACAGATTGTACTAATTATATAAATTACAGCAACTCTGCCTCTTTGTGGAAGCTCATCTCTTTTTTTCCCCGTAACTTCATCTGCACACTTTGCCCGGGCAATAACACAGATCAAAATGAATCTAATCTTTAATGGTGCCGGTGGAGAGAGCAGTTCACAAAGAAATGTTCTTTTCCGTCTTTAAAAAAAATCCGCCGTGACACAGCAGTTGAAGGAAGAAACCATTTTTAAGATTTCAGTATCATTCACCGAGGTTTGAACACTGGGTTCAGGGTTCCTTCGTCCTCTGGAACGGTACAGAAAGTGTTTTCTGGATTTTCTAGTTGGGTAAGATTCTTATAAACTGATCTATTTATATTCTAAAGTATTTAACTCAACCAGGATCTAAGGGTAAGTAAATCTGAAAATGTGAATATTGACACAAAACATGAGTAGGAACGCACTCACGTCCTAAAGGGCAAATTTCATCTAATCCGTGTTTCCTCTGCAGTGCCCTGCAAAAGCCAGGTGTTGACGTCAGCATCTGGAGCTCTGACTAGTCCTGGCTACCCAAACCCCTACCCGCCCATGAGCCAGTGCAATCACACCATCAGTTTGCCGGAGGGCTCCAGAATCATCCTGGACTTCTTGGAACCTTTTGACATAGAGGGACACCCCGATGTCCCCTGTCCATATGATATGCTAAAGGTCAGTACCGCACAAGGCCAATGTAGACAAGACAATGAATAAGTAATGTATTCCTCCCCATGGCTTTAAGACGACCTGTCACTGATTTACCCTCTGCCAGCTGATTTACGACATGCTTCTGCGTTTTCTTGCATATTTGAGTTTGGCAGGACATCGGTCAGGGACCCGATGAATCAATCTTCTTTTTCCTTTTGGATGTTTCTTTTTTTTTAAGATTTCAACAACTGGACAAGAGTACGGACCGTTCTGTGGCTCGGCACCACCAGACTCTATAGATACTGGAAGTTACCAAGTGCATGTGGCGTTCAGATCTGACTCTACTGGGAAGAACAAGGGATGGAAGATCAAATACACCAGCACCACAGCTAAATAGCTTTCATAACTTCAAAACTGATGGCTTCCTGCCTGGATAATATTTTCCTCTGCAAGTTTTAAGATGTTTTTTTTTTTTTTTTATTCTTTTGCTATTAATAATTATAACAGTATTTAAGTTTTGTTCTATTTTTCTGACTTTTTGAACCAATACATTGAAAATTAAATGCACATGACCTGCAAATTCAATTACAACTCTTAATTTTTACACTTATATTTTGCCTATGGAGTAGTACACAATTGCTTTGAAAAAGGGGAAGCTCAGTTATTTTTGGGGTTTAAAAATATTAGTCGTCATGCATTTGTGTTCAACCCAGTTTAATCAGACACAGTGAGGGTACAATTACATCTCACAGAGGAGGACTTTATTTACAGACAAGTGAGTTTTAAAGGTATTTATTCTGAGTCTGGCTGTTCTGTTCAGCGACCAGAAAACACAGCAGACAGGACTGGACTAAAGTTATGGAGAAGCTTAAGGAAATGTTAGATTACGAAAGAAATTCTCAGAGTACTGTTCAATCCATCAGCCACAGCTCAGGGTTTTTCACCTACAAGGCAAAGGCAAAACAAGTATTTACCAGAAAAGCAGCCAATAAATCAAAAACACAATTTATCATCTTCCTTTTACTTCAAATATTCACCATTTTGTGTTGGAGCACATCAAGAATGCAAAAGACGTTTGTGATCAAATGTGAAAAGGTCGGGGGTTACTCTTTCATGCATCATTCAGCTCATTCATTTTTACCAAGACAGTAATTACACTTTTGCCCCTTTACAAATTGCTTGGTTCAATTTATTGTTTTCACTTTTTATTAGACCTTCCCGGAGATTTTTTTTGTGTGTGTGTGTGATTAAACAACAGACTCATATTTCCTTAAACTCAGATCTCAGCTGAGCCACACAGGATAAGATTTGTTTCCAGCATGACGTGCCGTGACAGCCCTTCGGGGGACCCGGGTGCTTACCTGAGCGCTCTCGAGTCACCATCTCGTCCTTACAGACAGCGTGACATACGATAGCGCAGTGCAGCTGACTGCTCCGATACTGCAGCACGCACGCTCGCGCCAAACTGTTCAGCCGAGGTGGAGCCAGCTTCACAGGAATTACGCACACCATGATTCCCATTACGTAGCTGTTGGAGGGAAAAACCCCAGCAGCAGTAAAAGCTCAGAACTCGTGTGCTCATGCAGAAACATACTAAACTGGTGCACAAAAAATATGAGGACAAGACGGAAACTTTAGACGCCTTTATTTACCAAAAGACATGTTAAAACGTAGCCCTTACATCCTATCATACAGATGTTACACCTTGATGTGTCCTGGAGAAGAATCTGCTTTAAAAACTATTCATGAAAAAGCAACGGGTCCGCTTCACACCGAAGCTCAACTGTTTTTGCAAAAGACACAATTCTCACTAATTGCGCTCGGACAGTTGGGAAGGGAGCGCGTTTTGTCTGCATTATAATCTCGCACACAAAAAAACGCCAAAAGATTACGTAAGTAAAAATAAGTCCATCGATTCTGTTCGGTGTTCCAGAGATAAGAGGACGCAACAGAGAACCTACCGCGTGTTCGTGTCACACGGACCAACACGCACAGTCTTACATCACACATCCATCAGACCAACACATGACTGTCAGGATTGTAGGCAAGATATACACTTAAATCATCCACAGTGCATAAATAACGTGTTAATCTGGTAGTGTTATCTGGTTTCTGGCGGTGTTGTACGACTGTGCTCAGGCAGAAGGCTGTTTATGTTTTTCAGATAGAATTTGCTGTAAGAAAGAAAATTCCTTTTTATCCGATAAGTAAGGAAATCGGACTAAAGTAATGTGTATGTAGCAAACTGCATCTGATTGATGCTTCAAGTTTTGTAAAAGTCGCCCTGGATTTTTGAGCGCATCATTGCGAACGCATGAAAATTGTTCTCCAAACAAACTAAATGATGCCATTTGATTGGCCTTGAAATAGCTCCTCTAGCTAATCCAAATCCCTGTTTTTTCACTCTGTTAAAATGCTGCATCTGATGAAACATAGAGCATATTTGTCATCTTGAAATATAGTACATTAGCAGATTTAAAAAGGAGAAGTTTGACAAACTCAGAGGAGCACTTTGTCCATCTCTGGGAAGAAATTTATTTATATGAACAGTTTCGCAACCAATTGCCATCTATGAAGCTAACTGCAACTAGCCTAACTTAGAGAACAGACAAGGCAAAGCAGTTTTTAGTTAAAACAGTAACAAAATTCTCCAGTAGAGTACCATACTCAAGATTACAAAACACAATTTCTAGATTTATTGTTAAACAGTTAAACAGTAAGGGTGTCTGTGAGTGTCAAAAAGTAAAGTATGAACCTTTTTAGAATATTAAGACCAATATTATTCAAATTTGGGACAAACATGAATAGCAGGAAATGATTTGATCCAAATTAATAAATAACAGCTCACTTAGCTTGGCAAGACAACCAATCCCTAGGAATATGACTACAATACTTTTACACCAATGCTTACTGCATACAGTTAACCTAAAACAGCAACTGACCAAACAGCTGACCTGTTTTCTACCCAAACATTAAGTAAACATTTGTTATTCACAGTAAAAAAAAACAAAAAACAAAAAAACGAGCTGGTAGTGGATGACATTACAATAAGTTTTATTTTAAAGTCTAAACTGTTTTCAGAAGCAAAAAATAAAAACTGAAAATGAGCGAGTAAACAAATCTGTTATATAAACTAATGCAAATTTAAAAGCTAGTGTATTTATATATTTTTATTTAATGTTTTGGTACACTGCAGAAACCCTGATCAGTGCCATCTAGTGGACAATACATAAACCAGCGTATTGATTAGTTTGCTTTAAATGTGGGGGGCTGAAGGTGCCACAATCCAGAAAATGACTCAAACTTGTACATGTGATGCTTTGAATAAAATGTTAACATTTATCTGTCAGTAAGGTTTTAAATACGAAAAACATAAAACAGAAATCATTAATTAGAGCTTGAATTCCTTGTATGTTAAACTTTACTTCAATATTTATTTAATTATGTCATAGTTCCCTTATCTACGGCCCATCAGGAAATAAAGTAAACAGTCACTTTGGCTAGACAAACATCCAGTTGTTTGTCTTTTGCTAAAAAAAAACAAAAAACAAAACAAAACAAAAAAAATACCCCAATGTGTGAATCACTCTCTGATGTTAGATTGGTTAATGGACAGCAGGCCAATCACTTTGCCTGTAGCTGAGGCCACCGATTTTAAAGAATACAGCTCACAAGTTAAAAAAAAGCAAAAAAAAAAAAAAAAACACCATGTGCTGCAATTCAGGACTATGAGATAATTGCATAAATACTACATTAAATAAGCTTTTACGATTGAATTCAACTTTATAAGGACGATCAACAGATATAATTGTGCATTTTAAGAATTATAAATATTTCCGTAATGATGGGTAACTATTTGATGAATACAATACCAATATTTTTTAACTGCCACATATAAACAAATATGTAAGTATTTATTTATTGTGGCATTTTTAGCTCTCGATACCTGCCAAGTACTGGATGACATTAACTTTCAGCAAAACCACCCTAAGACTACTGGGAGCTAGCATGTTAATATTTATAAGCATATGTTTGTCTGTAGCTATCACCCCAACATAACACAAATATTGAAATCAAAAAGTGGTTAAACATATTCAAACTGAACACATTTGTGCAAATCAGCCCAGGCGCTCTTCCAGGCATCCACCAACTTCACTGCTTTCTCAGTGCTCTCAAAACGACGCAGAGATCCACACCTTCCACATTCTTAGCAAGAGCTACTTAAACAGCAACACAGAGCAAATCCCATTCTGCTGACCCCGAGGCAGGTTAGTGTGAATCCTTATCAGTCTCTGCTCGGTCAAACCTAGCTGCTGCCTTGGGTCGCTGTTCCCGCCCCCTGCCCGGGTTTGCCGTCGTCCTGCTGCGTGCCGCTGATGGACTGCATGGCCTGAATCTGCTGCAGGCGCGTCGACAGCTCCGCCTCGCAGGCCTGCAGCAGCGCGGCGGTCCTGCCTGCGTCCCAACCCAGCACCTGCTGCATGGCTTCCAGCCCTCTGCTCACTACCGCCTGGAAGCACACATAGCCGAACAGAACTTCAAACACAGGAAATCTACACGAGGAATTTGGATGCAGCAATTAAAACCTCATGAGTGGCACATAGGAAACCGTCGTGTAAAGAAGTCCGGCGGTCCAAAGCCACGTAGGACGGAGAACTGACACTTGTACATCATAACACAAAAACACACATGGTGGAGATACTGTTTTTCGGTAGGCGCAGTGAAGCTGGTCAGAGTTAAAGGGAAGACAAATGCGGTTCAATGCAGGGCTGTGGTGCAAAGAAAACCGTTGAGAGCGGCAAACGACTTGAAACTGGGAGGTTTCGAATCTGCAAAGCTGGTAAGACACAAATGCGTCAAGAGAGTCAAAAAGTGGTTGTAACGTCAAACCATGGGAAAATATTTAAAAGGTATCAGTGCCCTTGCCAGCTGTAGTCTCCTTAAGGTATTTTTACACGTCAGACTCAGTGGGCTCGCTGGTATTAATGTGCGCCCTGAGCAACACGCGCGCCGCTCAAAGTTGGGGTGTGAAACGATTGCCTCAATTTTTCCCCTATCAGTGCGCTTCCAGGACCACAGGCCCACTCAGCCTGCTGATGAATAATAAGCTGTTTTTCCTGCAGACGGTTCAGGCTCCCCTGGCGATTAATCAGACATTTTGAACACTAGTGGCCAGCTGCATGAGAACAAATAAAGCTTTTGAATTGCTTTAAATTAGAGGTTGGTTAACACATATACATATACACATATATAACTGGCTGTAGAATGAGACAAGAAAAATGGGACATAGGAGAGTTCATAGAACAGCTGGATTGTGCTTTTGTTGCAATTCAGTGGCTTTGTAGAGGTCTGGATTTTCTGATACAGGTGTTTTTATTTTATTGTATTTAGATAATCTAAGCCATTATAGAGCAGTGGGGAGAGAAGAATACCTGCAAATCCTCAGTGGAGAGTCTGGTCTCTGGGCTGGTTTTGCCTTTCAGGACCATCAGTGTCCTGGACATGAACTCGGACGCAGAGTCCGCCTCCAATCCGTCCGGCATGTCCACATCTCCAGCACCTGACGTATTGAAACGGGTTCTCTCTTATATTCAGTATAGATTGTGGTAAATTGGTTGAAATGTTAGGGATTATTGAGGAGCTGCAATGACTCCATCTAGTGACCAAAGGGTAAAAGTGCAACAAGGCACCATGAGCAATCAAAATGTGAAGAAAGTACATTTGATCTCTAAAATATCATCTAGAAAATTACCCCTAAAAAACAATTTAATTTTCTCCTTAACATTGTTTTCTTTTAGATTAAGGCAAATATTTGCCTGTTGAAAAAGCTTTGTGTAGTAAGATATTGATGTTTGAAAACTCATTAATGTCTCCAAAATGCCTAAGAATACATTTCTATTTTATTACAGTAGCATAATCTCACATAATAGATTTATTCAGTAGAGAAAAAAAACCTACAATAAAAATAACATTGTTTTCTTTTTATTTATAATTATTAGCAACCCATAAATTAAAAAAAAAAAACACAAACATTTTAGTGCTTTGTACTCTTCTTGTTCCCAAGCAGCTAGGAACATTTAACCGTTTGCCATCGTCATTTTCGATAATCATTTCCATGTGGGCAGAATAAAAATACATTTAAAAAAAGTAGTAACTGCACATTTATTTTGCCTTACCGTCCTGACTAGAAGGACTTGTGGCTCCCTGCTGTCTGTCCTCGTTCTCCACAGCTTTGAGGTACAGCTGGAGCAGCTCTTTGGACTGCCTTTCCTCCTCCCTGCGATCCAAAACCCTCTGCAGCGTCTCCTGAAGTTCCTCTGCCTTCTTCTCTTGGAAGCCCAGGGCAGAGGCTAGTTCAGAGCACGGCGCCTCCACTAAAGACTGGGAGAGGAAAGTACAGCGTTCTCTTTAAATGACACAGATATGTGAAAGCATGAACGGATGAAAACTGGACCCGCTTGAACAATCAACCTTAAAATGGCAAAGAAGAACTATTAGAATGCTTTTTCTTTTTTTTTTTTTTAAAGCGGCCTTATTTCTAATCTGCAACACAGGATTCTAAAGTGAAACAGTGAAATCCTGCCCGTACCTGTAGGTCTCCCTCAGACATGAGAATGATACTGGTCAGGTCTTGCTTCAGCTGCAGTGCCAGATTCCACCATGGCGCCTCAGCAATGCAGGAGTCGACGGCATCGGCTTCCAGAACCACAGACTCTCTCCTCATCCAAGCCGTGCCGCCATCAACTGTAATAACAGCGAAGAGAGCAACAAAACACATAAAATGTGCATTTTTTTTTCTCCCCCACCCCCATCAGAGTAAGAATCCAGGCTTACGATGATTCAACCTGCTTACTCTTGCGAGCTGGAGCCCACGTTTCTTTGTCATGCAGCAGCATGAACTTGGTGTTAAAAGGCAAACACAAAAAGTAGGCTTGATCCTCTACTATGGTCCCATCACCCTCAAGGACCACAGTGACAGGGGCAGAGGGGCTCACTCCCAGAAACTCGCATCCTGTTGGAGGGAGAGCAATTTTAAGTTAACAGATAATGAACTAAATAGCATGTCCACCTAAGTAACTCTGAAACAATCTAGTCATAACACCACCGGAATTGTAATCGAGGAACTCTACAATGCCAACCAAAGGTATTTATTCCCCTTCGACTTCCACATTTGTCAACTATTTTTAGTGACAGTTTATGCAATAAACCCACACACAAAAAAGGCTGATTTTTGGTGTGTCTCGTACGTCAGCAGTGACATTTACTGTCACTTGTTTTTCACAAAGCTATTCAAATGTTGAACGGCTACGGCTGCCACCAGGCGCAACCCAAGTAAATCAAATGCCTTTGATGGGCAGAGGCTGAACGGCTTCAGTGATCAGGTGACTAGCTTTCTAGGAATGAACACAAACAGGGGATTTATTTCTAAGTTTTAAAACCTGCAGGTTCGAACACGACTGAAACAGACTTGTTTCTGCACACAGAAACAAGTCTGTGAGTGATCATGATTGATAAGCAAATGATCGAGTAGTGAATGCACCACGGGTCCCGAATATCTCGACCATCATAACTGTCTTTCCTTTTACTTCCACGTCGTCTCTCATCTGAGGTGCAAAACCAAACGGAAATGGACAAAAAACGCAAGTGGAACTACATGAAACTCATCCAAATGCCATCTAACAAAACCTGTTCGTTTTAATAACAATTCCTCGGAGATGCTTAACTCATGGCAACTTACCTTTTTTCTTCAGATCATCCAACGAGGGAACAATCACTCCGTATGATTTCTGACGTGTGAAGTTACACACTTTGCAGGGTCTCCCATCTGTCATTATAAGCCTCAAGCTTTGAGTCCTGCACTGATTTTGAGTTTTCAACCTAGAAACCACGAAACTACAGTGCTAAGCTTTCAACTAGGCTACCTCTGCTCATTCGAATGCGGAACCGCCACTTTAGCGCGATGAATGCTGGGATGTGAAGTTTTTAACAAGAAAACGAGAAAACAATGTTGCAAAAATAAAAACAACAACAACAACAAAAAAAACAGTCAATCAAGATTACATTTGCTTTTACATACTCTTGTCTTGAAAAAGAGACTAAGTCAGCTAAATTACAAACACTTTATTTTACTTTATGCATTTATGTTTGAGAGAAACGATGACAGCACAAAAACATGCAAAGGCTACAGTTTACATACACATTTTTCGAGTGTTTTAGCAGCCAAGACACTGATAGGACTCATGTAAGAGATAAAATACAGTAAGCATTTATATGAACGTTACAAACAAAAAGAGCCATCTTCAGGAAAAGCAATCGAGCGTGATACCGTCGACCTATCGGGGGGCTGGAAAGATGGCATCCACCGAGCAACCTGATCCACCAACACAGGTCTTTCTTTGTCTATCACCCAACATTTACCTCATGTCCTCCAGATATCATTGGGAGCTCTTCAGAATTGCTTCTAAATGTTGCTTTTACGCATTAGCCCTTTGAGCGGCTACTTCAGTAACTGCTCAGCTAATGGATGCTAGCATGCTTGCTAGCTAGCATGCTCGCTAGGGAGCGTTTTAAAAGTTTCTTTTCACCCAAACTGCTGTACATAAGTGGCTTTAAATAAGTTGTAGGGTAGGCCTTATGTTTTCGCATGCAACATGGTTAGTTTACGTTAGTGCCCTATCATTTATAACGCTCCCACGTTGCTGAGTATTTTTTTTTTTATTTCTATTTTGAACATGGAGTCATGACTGTCATGAGTAGTTGTTGGTGTGTACAGGGGAAAGGTCATTCAAAAAGGGGTCACAAGGCTGGCTGGTAGAAGTTTGTTGCTGATTCTCTAAACATTTGACTGCAGTTATTAGCTATGGTTGCCTATTTATGGCTTGGCTGATAAGTTACATGATTGCATTGTAAATACATGCAGTAAACTTACCAAACACAAGGTAAAGATGGAATGTATGTTGACTACTAAACCATCAGTGAATTCTCACAGTGACAACTATAATATAATAATCATGCACAACATAATTAGAGCCCCTCAGCTTATACTATGCCAGATATTAACATTGCGATTATTAGCAAAATTAATCTGTAAATTGACATAAACCCTGGTCTAATGAATCAGTCTGAACTATGTTACATCCATGTAACATTAGAAATGAAACATTTGCCAAAGTTTATCTCTACAGATTGTTCTGCTTTTTTTTTTTTTTTTTTAATTTTTCCTACTGCTTTTTTTTTACCAATCAAATTGGTTTTTTTTTTTTTAGCCTTTTTTTTTTTTTTTTA